CCGGTGCTCGACCAGCCTTCTTCCTCACCTATAAATATCTATTGTGTTATCTCGTGGTCTGTGCCACTAACTACTAAAGCGGCTGACATCCCCATGAAGTCATGTGGAAAAGCAACCAATTTATGCTTGTAGGGGAAGGGGGGAATTTTGAAAAAAAAGTCAGAGTCGGAAGTTTGGTAAGTTTTCATATGGGATCACGGCAGGTTCCGAAAGGCGTTCCGATAGACAAACAGTATGTGTCTAAAGGTATGCCGATGTGTGGAGGGAGAAGCTTCTATCACGGTGATGGAACAACGGGAATTAGGAGGTTAATAGTGAAGATTTTTCTGCTACTGACAGAACTTGGTAGATGCAGACAGCATGCAGTTATTTCGTCAAAAAACAGAAACCAAAACGGTCACTCCTTAGCATGATATCGCACTTCAGTGTGTAATTGCCTTCAGATTTTTCGGAAGTGTGGATAAAAGGAGCAAGCTAACTCAACTTCTACCCAGACATGATTCTGTCGGACTCCGAAAGATCGTTCTAATACGAGGGTGAACAATACGTGTGTTATAGGCTGTCAAATGCGGACATTTGTTCTTAGGACTCAGTTGATTGAGAGAATTGTTTACTTTTCCTTCAAGAATGAAGAGCGGATAATTAATGCTGGATAAAACGATCAGGCCATGACCTATTCCCAGTTCTATTGGACGATGTTAAATTCAAATTTAACCTAAAACTGTCGTCAGGTCAGCAGACCACCGCTTAAATTCCTCGGGGTTGGTCAAATGGCAAGATAATAAGAAGGTTCAGAGAGAGTGAGAGAGAGAGAGAGAGAGAGAGAGAGAGAGAGAGAGAGAAGAAGGCGAAAGGGGCCTACATTGATTGCAGTGATATTTTCCTGCAGAAACGCCAGCAAACCCTCGGAAGTGGAGTCCACATCGGAGCACGCCGGGTCCTCTTTTGCGCCGACGGCCTCTTCAAAGGAGTCAATGAGGACGGGCACATTGCAAATACCTCGTTGCCGAAGAAAAGCTTGTACCTGCTGGGAAACCAAATCCGGGGAGGCCAAACTGAAGCACTTGAGTTGGACTTCTACGTGAACCGTTTGCGGGCGCAGAGACCTTGTTGTGTAGGGGCCAACAGTAGTCAATTTTTGTGCCGCCGGAGACTTTTGGTCCTCGTCACCGGCTGGTGACTGTTCCTTCAGTGGAATGCAATCCATCCTCTGAGATATTTGCTCGCAAGCAAAGTTCATGCGCTGGAAGTGGAGAGGGGAACAGTGGGGCTTGTTTGACAGACTCCAGCGTCCAAAGTACATGAAAACAACTAAAGGAAACGCGGTATGCAAACATTCTAGAGGCCGTACGTCAAAGGTCTCACAGTTCCTTACACAGGCTGCCATTTTCTCAATCAATGAGATAGTTTTTTCGCTTGGCACTCGCCAGATAAGAACCGGCATATTGACGGCTTCCCGGTCCAACCCGGCAGAACATTGCTGCAGTCTGACGGTGAAAACCACATTTCGTAGAGCCACGCAGAATTCTTCATATTATCGAAGGCTCACAGAATTTCCTTAGTCACTCAGTAGGAGACAAACACTAAGGCGAAATTCACATCGGCCAGATTGCTGCCCGCAAAAGACTCGGCTTCAACAGCCATGAGCCGCGAGCACTGTGATGTAAGCTAAATGGAAACACATTAGTCTCTGACGATAGATTGCGAATACTACCATTCGAAACGCCATTGTCTTTTTCCTGGTTGACGTCTTCAGGCATTTCACCTGGGAATCTGATTTTCACAACTGTCGACATAAACTGCATGTCCCTGATAACGGCATGAATAGAAGTGCGGCTTCAACATTGCTGGTGAGGGCGATGCTCCATGAAAGTCAACTCATTTATCCCCTAAAATATCTCGCGAAATATGGATTAGGACTTTGAATGCCCACCATGACTTAAAATCCATCCCCCAATCCTCAACGACTTAACCTTTCACCCTGGCAGGTTGCAATTACTGTGGACAACGAAACAATGTCAGAGGACACATTAGTCAAACAGGCTGGTGTTTAGAAGTCCAGGCGAAAAAGAGAACGGTATCGATCCACCGACGCCGACAGCACCTCAATATACACACTGAAAGTACTATTAGTGCCCCGTGATATTACATCAAGACACAAGTCGCATACAGGCCAAATGACGAACGTCAGTCTAAGGTGTTTTAAGTCTGTTCAACAAGTACTATATATCGCGTCCATTTTCATAGCAGAGAACTTCGGGGGATCTATGTAACACTACAACCTCCATCTCACACAAGCAGAGACCGACTTATAAGATCACGGACTCCGCCTGAGCGGGGAAAAAAGGACAAGGAATGGGATGCCAACCTGCGGTGTTTGAACGGAGTGGGGTCGAAGCTTCAGTTGGTACAACACGGTACCCCACTATCTTGGAAGGAAGATGGTGGGTCTCAAAAAAGGAAAGCGGGTCATAACGTGTGACACTGAAAACAGGTGTCAAGATGTCAGCTAACACCATGGGGAAAATTGACACATTTAAGCACAAACTCATGACACTGATACTAAAAACAGTGAGCCAAAGTACTGTGTGGATTACAACGTATTAGCATGCAGCTTGGAGCAGTGCTATTTATGTGGCGCGGCGCAATTCAAAAATCGCTATCTAAATCAAAGCAGACTTGATGCCAAACTACTTTGTGACTAATATAATCCCCGACAAAGTACTCATAGGCACTTCAAGTGGTTTTAGTTGGCTGAAAACTGTACCACACGAAGAGATTGGCGGAAAGAGCGAACACTCGGCTTGACTCCGTGCGTGCAGGCGCATAACGATTTATTAATTGTAGAAACTGTTGAAAGCATCGCAAGTGACGTCCCATCTATCATCTACTTTAGAACTTTGACAATTGGACTTACCAAACATCAGCGTGAGAGGGTCGTCCACCGATTTAGTAAGGGCATTCAACATTCTCCGCTACAAACGACAGGACAACGGCCCATGGGTAAATGGCAAAGCGCTGGACTCAATGTCCAATGACCAGAGTTCGGGTTCCAGCTCGGGGATACCCAAACTGGGGATTGTGATAAGACTGGCTAACGACAGAGATGACCATTGGACCCTAACGACTTTGTCGGTGTTCGTCCGACATTACTGTCGAGCACTGCTCCGTCTGCTTCTTTCAGTGTAAAAAGGCAACTACATTTAACCAGTAAAAACGTCTACTCCCACTAAATAAAACTTCACGAGGCACACATAAAAGATCACATGGTGTTAACAAATACTGGATGGGCCGGTAAACATTTCAGTATCTTAGTGACCTCCCACACACAGCGATCATCATGGCAAACCTTACTGGTTTGTTTTTTTTATCGGTCTCTCGATCAGTCGCTTTCTACCTTATAAGAAGGAGAGGCGCGGACTTTGAGGACAAAAGTTGGCTGGAATTCTAGGGCCTCCTGAATCCGGTTTTCCCAAACATGTTCCATAAAATCAAAATGCTGCGGTCGAGGCAGTCAAATAAAGCAATCAAGTTCTAGATCCGGGTTTAATTTTTTGGTAGGGAGTTGTAGGGGTGTGGGACAGTACCATCTTAAAAGGTGCACTACGGCGTCCCTGGCTAGAAACACTTACTTCTAATACGCACCTGTGCCGCTCGACGTCAAAATGTCAAGGAAGAATGATAAGATCACTTCTCACACTGGTTTATAGTGCTCCTAATAAAAAGTACCTGTTTCTATCGCCTTAGTTCATTTCTTTACAAAAAATGGAAGCGCTTCTACTCGATGAGGCTGACTGCCCCTCCAGATCCAGAGAAAATTCGAAGAATTGAGATCTAGGAAGCCCATTCATAAGTGTGCTAGAAAATGTCTGCACGTAGTAGACACAGCTCAAACTTCACTGGGTATGTTTCTGAAGGGGCGTGTTCCGTAAGTACCAGTGGTGTAATTTTAACTGGGCCAACATAGATACTGAAATGCTGTCCCTGGATCTTGTCACAGTCAACAGCTGTATCCTACTCGGACTACAAGGACTCTAGATCTGAACTGAGCCAGTCTATCCGAGGCAAAGCGAGGTCCCGCGCCCTACTGAGTGAGCAGACGTCAAAAATATCCAGTGATAACGATATTCACTCAGATACAGGATGTGGCTGGGATTCCACTGCTTTGAAGCCTCCTGGTGACCTCCCAGTGATGCGTGCAAACATGCATAGTGCGTTAAAACATACCAAGCACGGCCGTACCCGCTTCATAGTAATTGCTGGCTATCTCTAAAAATAAACTTAGGTGGAGCGGACCCGTTGTTTGATGCGTTAGATGGCAAGAATACAGACATTGGAATCGCGTTTCCTTTAACGGGCGACGATTAGCTATCGGAAATTTTGTGCGAAAGCCATATCATATCTAAATAACTTCTGCAGTCAAGCATACCAGTGAAATAAAAAGACAAATCTTACAAACTCCAAGAAATGATAGCCAGCAACACCAGCATAAATAATCCGGGACATTTTAGGCAGAGCATACAGTTTGATGTCCGACTGACCACGGTATGATATGGTCAACAGTCTCCATGAGTGCTAAAGTGCCAGGAATAAACAGTACTTTAGCCCTAACCCGTCTTCTGGACTTGTAAGAGCATGCGCCTAATGCTAATAGGGCTATGGAAACATCAGACGCACGCACACAAAACACCAAAGTTTGGTGTGTCGATTTTCACAACTACTAGATTTAAAACTTAAGGCGGCAGACAGCGCTTTGGTTTTAGTAAAATTGCGATGTGTTTTTAGCAAGAACGGATAAACAAAACTATTCAAACCATGTAGGGGGTAAATTAAGCTAGAGATCAGACGAAGCCAAAAATTTGAAACGCAAGGATATTAACAAGAACGGCCTTTGAACATTAGAACCCGGGTGTGCGTCAGAAGTTTAAAATTATGTGTGTGCATATGTACAGATACACAAACGCGAAAAACGCAGAGGACTATTAACATGGAAGAAAAATCTACTCTGAACTAGTCAACATTGTGGTGACAGAGAGTTCAAGGATCTTGTCGCGCAAAGCGAAAAGTACATGATCTGCCAACTCTTGGCATTCATGGTCAGCATCACTCTCTCGCAACTGCTGCAACCTCCTGGCCAACAAGGCTTCCGAGTCGTTGAGTAAAATGCTGGGGTTGGCAGAGAAGAGGGTGTCAGGACTGACTGTTAACACAACTCCCAATGCAGAAAGGCTAGAACGGCGCACCGCGGCATCCGGGTGATTAAGAAGGCGACCGGCAGAGATCATCAGGCCCTCCGCCATTGCTGGAAGTTTGGGGGCCGTACGCGCACAAGCATAAATTGAACCTAGCGAGGCGATCAGGCGACTTAAGAGTGCGTCATCTAGATGGGCGTATGGATCCGTGTCGGGGTGCTGTGTCAAGCGTCCCACAGCATCGAGCAAGGGGAAAAAGAAATAACCTGCGACAGGCCCAAAGGCGTTCTCTGACTCAATCGGTCGGGCCAAAGCCGAAGCAGGTGTGCAGAAACGGCGCGTCTTCCCGTCCGAAATTGGCTGAGGTGTTTTAAGTGGAAGTTGTGTTTGAACCGACTTGATTTTGTGAGGGTCTGTGGCCAGAATGCAGGCTGCGTCGGTGAGGCAGGCCAGAATTTCATAGCGTTGATTCAGAGCCAAACCACTGTGTGTAAACTGAACGGTTAAGTAACGCGCCGTCTTCTTTGGCGCTACAACAGTCAAAGCCACAAGGGCTTTGTGTCGGGACGCATTTACTTCAGCGCTGTAGGGACAGGGAGGGGGCTCAGTGTGGAGAAGAGTTTCTGCAAAATTGAGAGAGATTTCATCTACGGCGCTCCTATGTTTGTATATGAGTTCTTCAGCGTAGGCAAAACAGGCTAGGGCGACTTCGTTGCCTTCGTCTCTCGAGGCGGTTAGCCCGTCCAGGCATTCTCGGAGGTACCGCGGCTTTCTTGGGGTAAAAGGCCAGCCCACAGACTGGGCCATCGGCTTGGAAGGTCCATCAGGAACCGGTGGCAGGGGTTGAAAGGTAGAAAAGTCAACATCACAAACACCATCGTCACCATCAGTGGTATCAGGGTCGTCGTCACTGTCTAAACCTGTCTGGTCAATTTTCTTGATAGGTGCTTGTTGGGATGGTTCGGGAGCAAAGACTTCACCTAGTGGTTCTATTCCAGAACAAAAAAGCCATCTTAGCTGAAGAACGCTGAAAATTTTCATCAACAAAAGTCCCAATCTTGTCATTACCAAAAACCGCTAAACAGAAAACATGACCGTTTGGAAATCGTGAAACTCGCAAGCCAAAAAGTGTTTGAAAATTCAGTGCGTGTCGATTAACAGAGAAATAGAATAATGCACGTAAAGTCTTGCAGTTGACTTTGAAGAAAAGTTACTAGCCGACAAGGAGTGATGCTTATAAACTGGCTACGCCGCTAGATTGAACAAAATTTAACACTGAAAAATGGGTAAAGGGAAAAATTGCGGCTTCTTCATATAGTGCAAAAGATATTTAAAACTTCGGATGATATGCGAGTCGAAATCGGCTTCTTATTCATGAAAGTGTAAGAAAAATCTAATATTTACGAATTTTGCCGTATGGAAGAGATTTCCAAGGGAATGTTAGCTCATTTTCACTGTCAATGGGAAATATGGTAAAATTGTTTTTAGAAATAGGTTCTAAAACGGCTTCAGTGAGATATTAGGTCTAGTTAGTTAGCCGACAGAATAAGTAGCATTCCAAACTTGGGTATAAACTTAGGACAGTTGAGGGCTGCATCTAAAAAGGGTCGCGCGGAATTCTCATTTTCTCTAGTGTAACCGAAGTGCTCTAATCAACAAAGGAAATCAACCATGTTTAAACTAAAATCCGCGAGCGTATAAGATGAACGAAATAAGAAAGGACGGAAATCAACGAGAAATAACGAACCTGAGAGGCCACAGTGATCATTCGGAGTAAAGGGTGGCAGAGGCTCGAAGAGTGGTCGTACTTGTTTGACGGCATCATTGTCTTCATAAGTAAAGCTCAGGTTTACACTTTTCGAATTTTCACCGAGCAAACATACTCCTTTGAAGTTTGAGACTAACCATTCGCCGACCGCCATGCCCAGGACCCGCAGTTCGTTTACGTTGCAGGAAAGATGGGCTGTTATACCACTGAGTATGCTGGAAACGGCGGAGTGATTTAAATCGCCCAACATGCCGTCTGGTACTCGCCTTCGGAAGAGCGTAACCCATGCAACCAGTGATTGACTCAGATAAATACGTTGCTGCAAAGAGTTTCTCTGAAGGGAAGTTACATCGGCCCAAATTCGCAGAATCCGAAAACCTAATTCAGTCTCAGTACGTTCATAGAGCTCTTGTGCCTGCTCGGGCTTTTCAGTGTGCCACCGCGATATTAGTTCACCCAAACAACCAAATATATTGACTGGAATCGTCGGTTTGACGAAATGACGTAAAAGAAGGAGGCGATGAAATACACGGAAGACATCAGATACAGAAGTGGTACTGTTTGAGAGTAACTTTGAAAGGCAGACACTGACAATGACGGGATGTGGTGCGCCAGATAGAAGAGGCATCAAAGTCGGCTCCAAAGCGCGCGGAGACACTAACGAAAGGGCCGAGCCCCACTGTTCACAACCTACCAAACCACCAGACCGACAAACATGGCGGAATATGTAATTCCAGACATGTGTCCCCTGTCCTAGCAAGCAGCACTGAGAGAGCAAAACAGCATTCAGCTGGTCATGACCGGATGCATGAAGCTGTCGCATGAGAAGGCAGTAAAACAGCTCAGGTTCAAAAATGCGAGGTTGGCGACCACCCCTCAATGCGTTTGAAATGACAGTTGGTACGTTGAGCAGGCAACGAGTCCGTTCAATAAGAAAGTGTAAACGGGCCTTTTCTGGAAGTGACGCTGCCTTATTGGAAAGCGTCAAATAAAGGGGCGTTAGTCGTGAGAAGGTGGTGAAAAACGCAGAAACCAGCTTAAGGTATAAGGTTAGCCGGGAACACTCTGTAACGTGAGGAAGATACGAGACGAGTAATTCCAGCCAAATATCGGCTCTAGAATGTTCTGTCGCATACAGAAGTAGTCTGAAACAGGCGGGCGAATCGACTTTCGGGAACAGTTTTGCAAAGAACTGGGAAAGGAAGAAGACGGCAGCCTCGTCATCAGAAAGCGCTGTGCTGTCAATGTAATTCTCTAAATCATGAAAGTCTCGGTCAACAGCAAAATCGGCAGAATTAAGCAAATCGAGTGCCTTCTCTAGGCACGATCCTTCGGTCATATAGAGACAATTGAAGCACTCAAAGCGCAGACACGTCGAACGTCCAAGAAGTAAACTTCGTTTGGTCCCAAATAGCAACCGGCTTGCGGAGAAAATAAAACAAACCTCTTAAAGGCGCAAATGAAAACTATATCCGTAATGAATAACGCGCAAAAACTCGAAGAGGGCGGCAAGGCGCACAACCCTAAATTCCGGGATTCAAACAGCCCAATTAAACATCGTCCAAAAATTTGGGTTGGGACAAAATGACGATTAAGACAATTATAACATTTATCTGACGGCAAAGAACCTTCAGATGTCTTTTATTTCCTGCAGTAGTTGCTTAAGGGCATGGGACGCTACCTAAGTACAGCCGTGATGAATGTTGTAGCACCTAAAGTGCCCACAGGCCTTCCTTCTCGGACGTATGAGTCACTTTGGGATGTAGCGTCCGACCTCGCAAGGTGTTCGGTGGCCGAGCGTTCACTCGCGTCCTTTTGAGTTGCCTGAGACAGAACGTCGGAAACTGGGGCACTCTGTCCTGTTTGTGAGCCGCTAGGATCGTCTTTCCAAGTGTTCATTATCGAACAACAGTCTTCAAGCACACGATAAGCCGCGTAATACACTAAGGTTTATTGAGGCAGGGAAAAAAGGAATGTAGGACGAGGGGCAAAAGGGGGGATCTATTAATCCAACAAAACGTTAGTTCCACGGTTGTCCAGGGAAGGTAGAGTTGGGTGTCGCCTTCTTCACGCACCTCGACTAAAAAAAACAAATGAAAGCAAACAGATAGTGTCCAGACACCAGGCACCCTTGCTGTCAAACTTAGCGCCCTTATCTATTAAATCAACCGTTCATGTCTGTCTGCTACAACTGTCCCCCCCCTCTAGGCAGTGCCCAGTCCGCGGGGACTGGTGGGGAGTGTGGGTCAGGAGGGATTTCCCCTTCGTTGGTAGGCAAGGGGACTAAGTGGGGAGGGAAAATGGGTAGGGTATCATGGGACGCTACGGGGAGACTACCGTGGTAAGGTTTTAAGTTATTGAAGCGCACAGTGAAGTTGGGGGTGGCGTGGGTGAGGGCGTCGCGGATGATGTAAGTAGTGGGCGAAATGACGTCGGCGACCACGAACGGTCCTTCCCAAGGGTGGAAGAAGTTGGCCGGTGTGCCCACAGGCGGGACCGCCCGATAGCGGAGCACTAGATCACCGATGTGGTAGGGAAGCCCGTGTGCCCGTCGGTCGAAATAATTCTTTTGTCTGTCATAGGCGTTGCGGAGTTATGTGCGGGCCAGATTGTACGTGAGTCTTAGTAGCTCCTGTAGCTCCATCACGTAGTTGTCGGTTGTATAGGCCATCGGTTGCTGTGTGGGGACGTTCGCGTCCGCCGGTAGTCGGAATTGGCGGCCGATCAACATATAGAATGGGGCGTGGTCCGTTGAAGAATGAACGGCGGCTCTATAGGCCATCATGGCGAAGGGTAATTGCACGTCCCAATCGCGTGGGTGGTGGTCATCGGCGAACGCCTTCAGGATATTAATGATGGTTCGGTTTGTGAGCTCCACCTGGCCATTGCCCTCTGGGTGGGTTGGTGTAGTTCGAGTCTTGTGGATGAGGAGAAGGTCATAGACTTCGCGTAGAAGGTGGCTTTCGAAGTTGGCTCCGCAATCGGAGTGAAGTGAAAAGGGTGCTCCGCATCGACAGACCCATTCCTTTAGCAGCGCATTGGTGACCAAGGCTGCATCTTGTCGATGTAAGGGGATGGCCTCAGCCCACGTCGTAAAATAATCTACCAACACTAACATGTACCGATGGCCGGAAGTTGTGTAAGGCAACGGGTCGACTATGTCTACGCGACGTAGGCAGCGTCGGGTGGCGGTTGATGCCTGAACGCCGTGTTCTCCGTGTTGGGGACTAGGCCGAAGTTGTCGCAGACGGCGGCGAAGAGGTCCACGCTCCTTTGCATGTTCCCTTCAGAGGTGGCCATGAGGGCACATTCGTCGGCGAAGAGAAGATCATGGACGGTAGTTGTGGATACACGCAACTGGAAGTGCATCCGTCACTGATTGAGGGGTTGGCCGTCCGTCCTGTAGGCGATGCGGAGCCCTTGACGTTCGTCGCGATAAGCGAGCATCAGCATGGCAGAGAACATGAGACTTAAGAGGTTGGGCCCGAGGACGCAGCCCTGTTCCACTCCGTTGATCACTGCATACGCCTCTCAGACAGCCCCGTTGTTCGTGACGCGCGCCGTCATGCCATCGTGGAGCTGACGCACCATCTGAGTGAATCACTAGGGACAGCCGAATTTCTGCGTGACTGTCTACGGTCCATTGCGATTCACCGTGCCGAAGGCTTTCGTCAGACCTACTAAGGTAGAGTTCAGGTGGGTCTGCTTCTCCGGACACTTCTCCTGCAGTTGGCGGGCTTCGAAGCTAATGTCTGCAGCCCTGCAATGACGGCGGAAGCCGCACTAGTCTTCCGGCAGATGACCCTGCTCCAGACTGTGGTTCAGACGATCGGGAAGAATGCGAGCGCGTATCTTTCCGGCGATGTTCAGCAGGGAAATGCCTTGGTAGTTGTCGCCGGGTTGGCGGTTTCCTTTCCGTTTATATGTGATGCGTCCTTGAAGTCCTGCGGGGGGGGGGCCGTCAGATGATTCATGAGTTGGGGACAACCGTGCTTATAGATCTCAGCGGGGAGCGCGTCCGATCCGGGCGCTTTACCGCCGGAGAGCTGCTGCACGGCCCTGATGGTTTCGTGGAGAGGTCGAGGTCGGCATTGGTTCCACCTGAGGCAGATGGGCGGTGGCGGCATCGGAGATGGTGGAGGGGCGGTTGAGGACGCGTCTGAAATGCTCGGCCCATCGCTGAGGAATTCATGTCTTCTCGGTGAGTAGGGTACTGCCGTCGGCGCTGAGAAGAGGAACAGCTGCTTTGGTTGCCGGACCGTAGACAGCTTTGATGGCGGAAAAGACATTTTTTCCATTCGTTGCGATCCCCGTAACCTTGGATCTCCTCAGTCTTGCGAGCCGCTGTTGCCCAAGGCAGCGACCATGGTATGAGGCTGCTTTTCTGTCGTCAGTAGGGTAACTGACGTACGTTATGTGCAACCGGTTCTTCTCGGTGAGCATGTTGCTGATGGCGGCGGCGTCGCTGTCGTCGAACCAATCCTGGTGTTGGCGACGTGCGTGAACGAGAACAGCTAGGACTGTCGACTGGACCGTGTCCCCCAGTTGAACCATCGGTTCTCCATGGAGGCATTCTCGTTAACGGCGGCGGTTCCAGCGGCGACTAGAAGGTTAGCTAGTCATTGGGCTAGCTCGTTGCTGAAATGAAGATGGTGAGCAGGCAAAAACAACAAATTAATATTCCGCCTGCCTGGAATCGCTTAAATTGAGGTCTTTTGTGAGGCTGCAGGCGAAGCTGCATCTCGTAGACGACTAGACGATGGTCGGTCCACCCATCGACACCCGGGATCGCCTTTGTCACCAGCACGCCTCATTGGTCTCGCCTCCGGACGTGGACATAGTCCAGCAGATGCCAGTGTTGCGACCGAGGGTGCATCCAGGTAGCCTCTTCTCACATCGGGAGGCGGAAGAATGTGCCGGTCAGAGTGAGTCGGTGTCCTGCGCAGGTTCGTAGGAGGAACAGGCTATTATTATTGGAACCGTCGAGACCATGGGAACTCAGCACTCCTCACCAGACCGCATGATCCGTGCCGACGCTGGTGTTGAAGTCACCAAAGGCAATCAACTTATCCGCCTTCGGCACAGCCACCAGTAGTCCGTGCAGGTCCTCATAGAATTTGTTTCTGGCAGCGTCAGGGTTGGTTATCGGGGGAGCGTAGACACTGACGATGGTGGCGAATTTGCCTCTCTGGAGAGGCCGGCGGAGACTCATCTGGCGATCGTTGGTACCCTGCGGCAAACAGCAGTCGTCCCACGCTGTCGTTCCAAACGGCAAAGGCAATGCCCGTGCTCCGTCGCCCTGTCCTGGAACGACCGCTCCAGAAGAAGGTGTAGCCGACACTCATCTCCTCCAATTGGCCTTGTTCGTAGAAGCGGATCTTGATGAGTGCAGGGATGTCCATCTTTTAACGCGCCAGTTCCCGAGCCACTAGCGCCCTCCTCCGTTCCGGTCGGTTGCTCCTCTGATTGTCTAAAACGAAATGCACATTCCAGGCTGTCAGAGTGGGCGGGCCAACCCTACCAGTCTGGCAAGTGGGGCGGTGGGGAGCAGGAGGGGGAAGTGAGAGGGTGTTGTTTCTTGTGTGATTGTGTCGACCATGTGTTTTGTGTCTGCGGGCAACGGCCAGACTGTAGATGGCATGGCTCCCCAGCATTTGTTTAGGGCACCTCATGTAACCCCGTCCCCCTAGAGGGGTTGAGCAGTGCTCCCTCTCAATAGGGCTGCTCAGTCATCTCAGACGGCTGCCGAACTCCACTATGGGCCACGGCTTTTGTGTTTGGCGTGAGAACGACCCTAGTTAGCCTGGGCCGCCTGCGTGATCGCTGTCGCTCTTGTCGTAGGACTTTTTGAAGGGGATAAGCGGGGGGATGGGTGAATGGTAGAGAGGTGGGAAGCAGAGTTTTCTGTCCCTCTCTAAGCCAACTGGTTGACCGAAGTCTTGGATACCGAAATTACACTCGATGATTACCAACTTTTTCGCCGGGACAGACTGCATACAAAAGGAGGGGGAATAACAGTCTACGTCAAGAGAGGAATCATCGCGTCGGAACACAAAACCGATTGCTCCCGCGACTGTGAAGCCATTTGGTTAAAACTGTGGATGCGTGGCTCACCTAATTTGAATTTCCTGACCGTATACAGGCCGCCCAATCAAACTGCTGAGGTTGACGAGGCGATGTTTGGATTAATTAAGGAGGTGTCACAAAACCAAGAGGTACTGATGACCGGAGACTTCAACGCACCCATGGTCGATTGGAACAATTTATTAGTAAACGGTTCGCGAAATCCGTTTCATTCCAGGCTCTTGAAACTCACGGCTAATCTCTTTTTGGTACAAAACGTCACGTTCCCAACCAGGATCAGAGCGGACCAAAGAGCAAATTGTCTGGACCTTGTCCTTACAAAAGACCCAATTAGCCTTGGCGAACTTAGGTCCATAACACCGCTGGGTAAGAGTGACCATGTCATGCTGTTTTGGGAATACCGCCTATGCAGCCAACAAGTGAATACAACTGAGCCTCGGCTGAATTTCTGGCGAGGCGATTTTGCCGCCATGAGAAGGGAATTATCGGCAGTGGACTGGAATGATGTTTTTTCCGGACATCCGGACGTTGATTGGAACACACTCAAAGGTTTTTTAACAGCCATCATGTATCGGAACTGTCCGACAAAGAGAGTCAAAAAGAATATTCGTCCTGCCTGGATAACGCGGGATATAAAGAAAGAAGTAAACCGGAAGAACAAACTATGGAGAAGGTATGCAACAACAAAACAACCATCTCATTACGAGCAGTTTCGGCGAAAGCGAAACGAGGTAAGATCGGCTATCCGCAGGTCGCGGAAGGAAGATGAAACGCGAGTTATGGAACGGGCCGTCGATAAGCCAAAAGTGCTCTTCAGTTATATCAACAGTAGGTTAAAGAACAAGGAGACGATCTTAGTGTTGAAAGGAGAAAACAATGAGGATATAATCGAAAATGACGCTAAGGCAGAACATCTAAGCCGGTTTTTCGTATCTGTTTTCACCGATGAAACGGACTTTGGCGAGGCTGGATTGCCTGCTGGGACAACCAAAGAAATAATAGAAAACATCGACTTCACAGAAGAAAATGTCAGGAAGGAACTTCTAGCGCTTAAGGAGGGTAAGTCTCCGGGTTCCGATCAAATTCCGGCAAAAGTTCTGAAGGAGTTGGCTTGCGAACTCGCCAGACCACTTTTGCACATCTTTAGGTCGTCCTTTGACCGAGACATTCTCCCCTCTGATTGGAAAGTGGCGAACATATACCCCATTCACAAGGGTGAATCTAGAACAAGTACAAACAACTATCGGCCGGTGAGCCTAACGTGCATTTGTTGCAAAGTCATGGAAAGAATAGTCAAAAAATCCATAATGAAGTTCCTTGAAGAAAATAATTTCATTGCTAGTTCTCAACATGGCTTTCGACGAAATCACTCCTGTGTAACTAATATGCTTTATTCAACGGAACAGTGGTCTCGCTCGTTAGACGCAGGAACAAAGGTCGATATCGTTTATATTGATTTCAAGAAAGCCTTTGATAGTGTTCCACACCACCGGTTACTTTACAAGGTCCGAGAGTCAGGGATAAGGGGAAACCTTTTAAACTGGGTAAAGGACTTTCTGACTGGTCGATCACAATCTGTGTGTATTGGTAGTGCGAAGTCATCGCCAGTGCCAGTCGTGAGTGGAGTTCCGCAGGGCTCTGTACTCGGACCAGTACTATTTTTAATTTATGTCAACGACTGTATGAATGGACTGGACTGCAATGGAGTCATGTTTGCCGATGACATCAAGTTATGGCGAGCGATCAACGGGGAAAATGATGAACGGGCTCTGCAAGAAGGACTGAACCGCCAGTGCGAATGGTCTGAGAAATGGCTGCTAAAGTTTAACCTTGAGAAGTGCGTCACGCTGCGACTTAAAACAGCTGGAAGAGCCGACGGAGAGGATCACCATTACCTGCTTGGTGGAAGGTGCCTTTCAAATGTGACCCAACAAAAAGATCTTGGGATCAACATTTTGTCGACTCTTGAGCCTTCCACTCAGTGCGTTAGGGCGACCAAAACGGCAACTATTGTTCTCTTTACCATTAAACGAACTTTCGTAGACATAGATAAAGAGTTATTTGGAAAAGTATATGGAGCATTCATTCGTTCGCACCTGGAATATGGAATCCAAGCGTGGCGCCCCTGGCTAAAAAAGGACTATAAGTTACTAGAAAGAGTTCAGAGGAGAGAGGCAAAAGTTGTGAAAGGCCTCAGGACTTTACCTTACAACTGCCGACTTAGTGAACGTAAACTCTTTCCTCTTGAGTACAGGCAGGTTCGAGGTGATCTCATACAGGCCTATCGGATATTGAGGAACCGGGACTGTGCCCTACACCTGGACGATTTCTTCACCCTGGCCACAACAACAAACCTGCGTGGGAACTCCCTAAAACTTAGAGGATCCCGATGCCGCCTG